GATGTTGGTGTTTCTCGCCGGAAGTTCAATTTTCTCGCCAGAATTGCTTAGAAAATGCTTGAAATCGCAAATGACTTGAGAGCAAAATATAGTGTTTGTTTCACAAGGGTAGAAAACTTGAGAAAAGCTCAAAGTCCGCCTTTTATAGAAAGACCCATCCGATCTCCATCGTTGAATTCAAATGCGATCAATCTAAGTCGTTCATCGCATCTTGAATCTAGGCCGTTGAAATGAAACGCCAGATTTGATATATGTCCAAGATGTCATTGTGACCTTCACGTTCGCTTAAAACGTGTCACCTCGATCACTACCAGCCGTCAATAATAATGAGTAGCCGCAGCAACCTTTTAGAAGAATGGGCATGACACCCAACTATCACCTTGAAAATACGTAACAGTTGTCAAATCATTTGACGTTTGAATCGCCTCGGATCGAGTTCCTCACTCAACTTTACAAAGTCTGGACGCACCTGACGCGAAGTCCCTTGTGGGTCGTCGCCTCGGACGCTGCGTTCCCTCCCAAACTTTACAAAGTTTTAGTCATCTCCCAATGCGTAGGCCCCGTGGGTCAGCGCACTGGTGGCAGATGAGCTCCTTACTCAACTTTACAAAGTTTGGACGCATCTGACGCGAAGTCCCCTGTGGGTCATCGCCTCGGACACCGCGTTCCATCCCAAGCTTTACAAAGTTTTAGCCATCTCCCAACGCGTCGACCCTGTGGGTCAGCGTACCGGTGGCAGATGAGCTCCTTACTCAACTTTACAAAGTTTGGATGCACCTGACGCGAAGTCCCCTGTGGGTCATCGCCTCGGACGCTGCGTTTCCTCCCAAGCTTTACAAAGTTTTAGCCATCTACCAACGCGTCGGCCCTGTGGGTCAGCGCACCGATGGCAGATGAGCTTCTTACTCAACTTTACAAAGTTTGGACGCACCTGACGCGAAGTCCCCTATGGGTCATTCCCTCGGACACTGTGTTCCTTTCCAAACTTTACAAAGTTTTAGTCATCTCCCAACACATCGGCCCATATTGGTCAGCACACCGGTGGCAAATGAGTTCCTCACTCAACTTCGCATAGCCTACACTCGCCTGACGCGAGTCTCCTCTGAGTCATCGCCCCGGTCCTAAGATCACGGCTTCGATTATGCAAAAAATCGACCCCCAAGCTCCCTCGAGTCGCGGTCCCCAGTACCGAGACATATACATCCGGTCAGAAAAGCAAGTCTACCCACGATATAAATATTCATGCTTGGACTTAGGGGGACCACTGTTACGCCCCTATCTGAACCGCCTCGGGACTCCCGCCACCACACATTCCGACCTGATATACACCCGTCCGAAGTGTTTCTGAAGTGATATCACCAATGTCAACAACCTAATAGCACACTGCGAGGTATAGACGATCCTGCTGAACTGACCGAAGCTTCTCGCCTCAGAGGTCGAGGCCAAGTGGACCCCTGTCAGAAGATTCACTGTCAATTTAAGAAAGAGATTTGTGCCAAGATCCTCTCTGCACCTAAAGTTTAAATTGATTTGACGTCTCCATGAGGCTAGTTGATGTGACTTATCAACTTTTTATCAATTCAATTCAGGAGAAACAAGCTGTCCGTCCACTCTACCGACGCGGCTGATTGACGCCTATGAGCGGACGCTTCATACCGTCAAATGTATATACATGTCCCACATCTAACGGTTCATCCCATCTATAAATATCCAAGGTTTGGTAAGAGGTAAAAGTAATGAAACTCTTACTACATAACACTCCATAGCAAGTTTATATATTTTCTCCTCCCCCTTATTATTATTTTGCACAACCGCTGAGTACTGTTCTGATCACCTAAAGCTGACTTGACCGTCAGAGTGTATGCGACCGCCACCACCCCCGCTGGTCCCGGTCGCGTGCGTCTGACCGTGCGTTGATTGTGCACAAGGAGGAATGCGTGGAGTAACTATCGGTTGGCTACGTGGAAGATCCAATTTTCGAAGTCAATAATAATAATAATAATAATAATAATAATAATAATAATAATAATAATAATAATAATTCTTTTACATTATCCAACTGAATCGCCATAATATTCTCTACTTTATTGATATCCATTATAATTAAGTTGGTAACTCGGTAATTTGCAAATAAAGTTGTTGACAGAACTGTTGCTTCAAGTTTAGTTTTTCGTCAGTCAGATTAATGGATAAAATATAATCAGTTTGTGACAAATGTTTATAAGTTTAACGAGTAGCTTCGAACAAAATTTAAATTTGATGATTAACTTGAAATCAAATGAAATTTAATTATCGACATAATATTCTACTATAACTGGAGCCATGTAAACTCTCTTACTACTTGAATTTCACTGAAAGTGAAACTTAGCGAAATCGTGCGTGTGTTCTTCGCGCTTGAGTATATTAATTTAGGGTTTGAAATAAATAAAGGAATATCGTCTCACTTTCTCTCTTTTTCTTTTTCATATAAAGAAGTGCTGTCTCACAATATATTACGATCCTAATATGTTTAGTAAGTAGATCAGATAATAATTGATAGTATAAAAGCTTGCTTACAATTTAATCTTCTTTAGTCGATACTGTGTATTAAACATGTCCCTTATCTGAAAATACGGTTGCTTTAAGAAATAAGCTAAAATAAATCTTCAATAAATTATTTTATCATACTAGTGTATGAGGAAATATAATATTTATACCACACCAACTAATTTAAATGCCAATTTTTAATCTAGGATCAATTATCCCAATATAAGTCTCTATTATTTTGATATGGCAAATATGATTTATGAACATTATAGTGATTAGTATATAATGCCACGTGATTATAGAATTAAATGACTATTTAGAAACAATTAATTGAATTATATTATACACTGGGGATACATTTAGCACATAATACTATTATTCATGTTTACTCGACTTTACTAAACATGTCATAATCATAAATTCAATGCTAAATTTAAACTTGTCAAATATAATTTATATGCACACATTATGTATAAACCACAATTTATAGTCACTTACGTTTTAACCTCTGTTTACTAGAGTTTTTTTAGAATATATTTTTGAAAAATAATTTTTTTGAAAAATGTATAGGTAAAAATTAGGAAAATGTTATGGATCCAGGAGCGAAATTTTTTTATTAGAAAAATGTATGGTTGAAAATAAGTTTTGAAAAAACAAATTTTAGAAAATGAGGCTAAATAGGCTCTTAATTTAAGCACTCCCAAACATGCTCTAAAGAAAAAGGTATGTCATACCTCGTAAGTTGGTACCGCTCAAAATCTAGCATGCCAATTGCCAAACATGTAAAAGTAACTTCTCTTTCAACAGATCGTTTTATTATTAGTGTCAAGTGAAAAAAAAAAAAAAACCGTAAAAGATTAGAGGGTGTAAACAAATAGGAAAGTTTGAAGAATTTGATAGATTCGATATCTTTTTATATTCACTTTTAAACATCATAAAAAACCTTAATTAAAATTTAATGCACTCAACATAATTTCAGATCGTGTATAAATCGTATTCGAGTTAAAAAACAATGTCTTCTAAAGAATGAAGGGAGGAACGTGAAAGCAATTGTATGCATAGGATCAAATCTCACGTTGTTTGTCAGCATGAGATGTGCAACCGACATTATAACATTCAACTGAAAACATATCACAATCTCAAGCAAACTTAGGACGAAAAAAGAATTGGCAATCATATGATGCAACAAATCATCAAAATGTAATAGTTAAGGAAAGTTAGATCAAATGTCAGAAATCAACTTTAAACAAGTATTACGTTTTATGTTTTCTTGTATTCCCAAAGTCAAATTCAATATTTTATGAATAATGCTACACCTCAAACCCTGTCACAAGCCCTTATTTGAGTAGGAAAATTCATATTTTATATAGTTAGTAATAGGATTTTTTTTTCTAATATAAATATTTTGTTGATTTCAAAATGTGACATTTAAGCTACCTAACTTTTTTTTTTTTTTTTTTTTTTAGCATAGATGATCACCAAATTTGCAAAGTTATTCAATTGTGTCATTGTTTACCGATGCCTAAGTCGATTTAACATATTTGGTATTCTCCAATGATTAAGCCTCATTTTTACCTCATTAAAATGAAAAATATGACCGTTATCCATTATATCAAGCCATCATTTTTGAATTTATATCTCTGGTGTGGAGTCCATAACGGCTCTATTTCTCATTCTCATTATAATGTGACTCAAACGGGCTCTAAATTTATTTGACAAAAACATTCTTTACAAGATTGCATTAATACATTGAAAAACGATATTTTTCACATAATTTTAATTTTAGATTAATCATTGTGCGTTCTATACTTGCAGTTAATGCTATTTCATCAAGGTCATTAACATGCCAAATGTCTCAACAAAATCTTTAAACTTTAATAAAATGGTAAAAATCAGCAACTAAAATGACATATTTTGAAAATTTAATGACCTATAAGATTTATAACTCGTTTTTATTTACTAAAGTATTTATAGACAATGATGAAACGGTGAGAAATCAAACGTAAATAGTCTTGTGATGAATGCAGAATACGGATTTTCACTATTTCTTCACAAAATTTCTTCTAAAAAATGTTATCCATATAAATTATACAATTTTAAATAGTAAGTACACCAATAAAAATATCTTCTTAACATGTAATCCAAACATCTATCCCGAAATCAATGACCCTCTTTCAAAATCTAAACTTTCCTTTATTTGCTGAGAAGAAGCGTGAGCAAAATCTTGCAAGTTTAATTTCCCAGCCTAGTAGTGGGATCCACACGCCATTAATAAGAAAATTTCAAAAAAAAAAAAAAAAAAAATAAGCTTTTCCAAAATAAGTCAAAAGTGCATATCAAGAGGACAACTGTATTTATGCTCTTTCCATCCCATTTCTTTAAGATATTTTCGTATGTTTTAACTTAAGGGACGCGGACACAACTCTTATAATTTGTCAACTCAGACCATATTCACATATTTATATCGTACAACTGTCTTAAAATATTGAATATTGAATTTTCTCTCTCTTAACTTTCTCACTCCACTTCTTGAATTGCCTTTATATACCCTGCACAAACTCCCATATTTTTCATCGAATTTCAAGAAATTCCTCTCTGCTACTCAAGATTCAATAATTACTTGTTTTCTCTTCATCCATTCTCAAGCAATTCCTTTCCACTACTCAAGATTCATATATATATATATCAGAACATTTCTTGCTTAAGTATCTGCTTATTTTGGAAGAAATTTGCTTATTTCTTCGATGGGAAATTACATTTCTTGTACTTTGTCCTCGCCGGTGGGCAGTCATTCAGGCAGGGCTGCAAAGGTTATATTTCCGGCAGGTGAAATCCGGCAAATTTGCGAGCCTACAAAAGCTGCAGAACTTATGCTGGAAACACCGAATTCTTTCCTCGTAAACACAAAATCCCTTCAAATTGGGAGAAGATTTTCTGCACTAAATGCAGATGAAGACCTCGAAATGGCAAATGTATATGTCTTTTTCCCGATGAACAGATTGAATACTGCGGTGACTGCTTCAGATATGGGAGCACTGTTTTTAACAGCAAATTCTGCTGCAAAACGTCCAGCATCGATCGGAAGTGTGAAGATCTTGCCGGAATGTAGTGAAAAATCGGTGCCGAAACTGAATTTGGATGATATTGAAGAATTTTCAACGCCGGAGTTTCAGCACCGGCTGTCCATGTGTAGATCAAAGAAGCCAGTGTTGGAGACTATAGTCGAAGAACCTGTTGGTTTGAGAATATTACAAAATTAATTAATTAAAAAATTTTAAATTCTCGAGAGACATTAATTTGTTATTCTTTATAGAGTTTGTGATAAAGACTAAAGGTAAAGAGAGTTTTTATTATGAGAAATGGGTGAAGATTGTATTGTATTGTAAATTTATTCTATCGAGTAATAAGAGACATGAATTTGGTATTTAAAATCTTAGATATCTACGTATATGGTTTGCAAAAGAGCCAGAGCCAATTGCTGGTTCGATTCTACTTTTTAAATTGTATTGATTTCTAGAATTAGGAACGTACGAGTTTTGATTTGATTCTCGTTTTCATACCTAGAACCAAAAATCGATTCTAACCGAATTCAATGTTTTTATTAATTATGTTTTTTGGTGTTAATTCGATGAATGATTTTTATTAGACTTTCTTTTCTAAAGATGCAACTCATCTTTTGTAATGAACGAGGTTTATATTTTAAATTTTAGATTTGAATATTACTTTTTATGATAGAACTTTGTCCTAGAGTTGCTTTAATCATTCAAAATTTTTCATTGAAATCGAATTAAAGGGGTTAGTGTTGGCGGCGATGTCAGAGGTGGTGATTGATTTTCAGGGGTGGGGTGGGGTGGGGTGGGGTGGGGGTTTGTCAAATGGGCAATGCTACGTATATATAACAGTTTACATATGGTCTTACACTCCCCTCCCACACACAATAAAATATGCGTGGGCCCCTCTATGTGAAATGGGTGTAAGACTATGGTGTACAAATAGCATTATTCTTGTGAAAAAGATAACTCTTTTATTTTTTGAATAATACTACTCGTACATAAAGAGCTACATAATGATTTATATATACATAATATATAAAAAATAGAATTGATAAGCTTTTTTTATTTGGTTGAAGAATTTTTGACCCAATAATATCTTACCATATTATATATATGTAAACAATTATATACATGTAACAAAATCATTATATTTGGTCAAATTCTACAATTTTGGTCAATTAGCAATCAAATGAATTTCCATCCATTTGGACTATATGTACTAATTTTTGAAAGGTTTGAAATTATAGGTGGCACAGATGAAAGATTAGGATAAAGTCTACAAAAAACTTAAATACTTGAAACCGCCGTTGTAATTATTCTTTAATTTAAATTCAAGAATGAAGCTAGGTGTACACCCATTGAGTACACCTTGTTTGACACCCCATATGTGTCAAAAATTTGGCCATTGTTTGAAAAAATATTGATAAAATTAATGTCTAGAAATCTGCCAAATCACATGAGTGTCAACTTAAATGTACATGTAATACGATTCTAAATTCAAATAGGATAACATGGTATATTACTACTCTCTCCGTCCCATTTATATAGGTCGATTTTTTTTTCTTGTTCCAATTATATAGTCATGTTTATTTATTGAGAATGTTTTGTTTTGTTTTGCTTATTTACTAATATACCCTTATTTAATTTATCTAGTTATAACTAATTTTTCACACTTAACCTTGAAATTATACAAATATGAATAAGGGTAAACTAGAAATTTTGGACAAAAGTTTCTTTTTCAATGACATTAAATAAATTTTTTTAATCTGTGTGGAAAAAAAAATCAACTTATATAAATAGGACGAATGGAGTATATGTTTTGGAGACTTGAAATCACGCTCTGGAGAACATTTTAAGAATTTTGGTAAGATAACATAGTTACTAGTGTCTATTTTAGAGTTTTTAAATCACGTTATGCACATGTTGTTTACTTTGAAAATTTTGTCGGGATACTGTCCATTTTGGAGGTGGTGTATTTTCAATTTGAAATGGATAGCATGTTTGTTTCCAAATGTTTTGGGCGCCTTCAATCATGTTTTGGACATGTTTTATTGAATGTAGATCTCCTACTTACCGTGGATAGGGGTTATAAAGCTCACTTACTGATGTGACGTGCCACGTTAGCTTGTCAAACTTCTTTCTCCTGAAGAGTAAAAAAATACGACTTGTCACATCGTTGGTGGACAATTATTATCTTGTCAACTGTGAACAGGAAATTAGCTCTATATATTTTATTTGTTGACATATTTCTTTTAGGAAAGATAAGAAGGTATGATGATGTTGTTTGTGTGAATGTATACTGTTAAATTAATATATACCGATGAATGAATGAGTTGTTACCACCACAATAAATTAAGGGGCGATGATTTCATTTAAATATCTACCTTCCCAGCTCTATTCCATATGTGGAAAATGATGATGCCGTTACAAGTATATCAACTAAATCATATGTACAACATGTTACACAACACATTACAATCTTAAAAAACATAGTTAGACAAGCAAATAAAAAAGATCAACATTTAACACTAGCAACAATCACAAGTCACAATATATTCGTCCCTGATCAACAATGGCGAATCTAGGATATTGAGATAGCTAGAGCGATCATTGACGACCACAATATGTTTATTAATATTTAATTAAATAATATTAAAAAATTCAATCAATAGTTAATACACTAAAACGTACAAGTCATGTACATTTTAAAATATTATTCAATACGACCTAAACTAATAAGGCAAAAAAAAAATATTTTTCAATCATATTTATGACCAGTTTCAAGTTTTTTATGAACTTAAACGAAACAATTTATATGTAAAGCATGACTAGACAATAAAGACAAGCTCCGAATTTAAGCGAAGGTTATGCAAAATTTTGGAAATAATGATTTTTAGAACTAGAACTATTTTTTACCCCAAAAGAAAAAAATGTTTTTTGAACTTTTAAAAGATAAAGAGTAGCATTTAGATTGTCCAAATTTGAATTTTATAAAATAATTTTTGTTTATTTTTTAATACAATCAATAATAACTAAACAATCATATATTATTAGTTTTCGTTTTCGAAATAATTTCTTTAAAAATATTATTCAAATTATTACTCCATCATATGAGCTGCACTCCTTTTTGCTTAACATTTGTACATTTATTAATTAATATTTAGTTATTATTTATTGTGTCTAAAAATTAAAAGGAGAAATGTTGTTGAAGGGAATCAAACCTAGGTATCTCACATGAAAATCTTTTTTCCAAGCTAATCTAGCACGAGTTGCCGCACTAACTCACTGAGTGCTGAATTCGTCCCTGCTCATCAAATTACGTGCATCACGTGTTCAATAATCATCGTCCTTTTTTTCTAGGCATAGTTATAAAGCTACACTACCAAGTTAAAATGTGGATTATCCGTATTAAATGGATCTGGCATTTCCTTAATTCTTTATTGCACAATATACTCGGCATTTTTTTATTTTTTTTTTATCACAAATATGCCACAATCCCAATTGCAAAGAAAGAAAAAATGCACAAGTAACACCCACGTTACTATTTAAAGACAAACAAAATAAATTCACAAGTAATAACACATGAGTAACATATTATTCATGCAAAATAAAATCCTATTACGAAAGAAAACTAAGGTAACCCCCAACTAATCTTTAATAACATGCCAAACAGTATACTTCATGATATGAACACACTAGTAATACAATGTTTTTCTTTATAGACAAACAAAGCACGTAACAAAAACAATAAATTACTTTATATGTAGGAGTAACACATTATGTTACTCTTTCATTTTAAGGAATTACGTATTTTTTGACAAAATACGACTATATTTGAACATGAACAAACATCACAAATATCACGATTCAGTTCCATTATGAAAATTAAAGGTAAGCATAAATGCACATAAGTATATATATATATATATATACACATATATAGACCCACAACTTTTCAACTACATATTTCATTAACTTTTATCAAAATCTACTAAAAATCTGATTTTAATTCCCTTCACCAAATAGGTGCCAAGTAAATATAAACTTTCCATGCATAAAGTAATCAAAATTCTGAAGTTACACAATCCATAAGTATTTACATGGTCTAGTCCATTGCTTAAAAGTAGCCATATCCGTAGCTTATTTCTCCTTCATTTAAACCAAAATAAAGACTCACACATAAGCTAAAACTCAATATCAATACATACATGACACCCTTCCAACAATCCTTTTGCTATCTTCAAGACATTAACCATGGCGACCGAGCTCGACAATGGCACACTTATCGCGACTAACGCGATCATCCCCAATGCCACGCTTGGCCTCGTATTCATCAAATACGTTTGTAGCAACGCCACTGTGTCACAAACGTCCTCGTGATAACGCGTAAAAATCTTCTTCTCCCATTCCATCCAATCAGAAGAAGGCTTTTGGATAGATCTAGTGCTCTCTAACAACTTCATTTTCTTGATGTGCAGTCTTAGAACAGATATATTTTCATCAACAGGTGATGATTTTTCCTCGTTATCATCCTTTTTTGTGTTGAGAACTTTTGTAATGATCCCATGTCTTAGGTTGTAAGAGGGTTTCTTTAGAAATGGCCTATGAGGCAATCTAGGAGAACACAACAAACTTGCCTCCATTGTTGAAGAAAGTAAGTGATTATAATGAAAAAAAAACCCGGGCCAATACATATATAGATAGAGAGGGAGAGAGAGGTTAAACATGCAAATACTTAGACATAAAGTTGAGTGTTGAATTTGTTTCGTGGACTCAAAGATGTGTCCCAACACGTGGCAAACGTAATCATCTGCCACGTGGCTTTGCATTTGTGTAATGGGCTGTTAATGACGTTCTTCAAGAAGAATGGGTTTGAACGGGTGAAGTATAATTATGATCAACTTTTATTTGAAGTTGCTTTGAAGGAACTTTTGCCTAGGTACCAAGGGAAAAAAAAGGATAACCTAGTGGTGGAGCAAGGAATTTGCTTGAAGCCCGCTAATTGTTAAAACAAGAAGCAAATAATAATGGCATATTCATGTATTTTTTGGAGTTCTGAAATCGCCTACAAAGACATGTAAATAACATCCAAATTTAAAAAATGTTAGTGTGTTGTTTCTCAATTAGGATGTTTATAAGATATAATCAAGTATTCAATATGATTCCACGAGCTCTAGTGACAACATTGATGCTGGGAATATCGACTGCGTACTACAATAGTTGATAAGCCCTGATCTTGAAATTTGGTTTACTTTGAAATTTTTGGATCATTTAACTTTTTCGTTGGTTAAAATATTCCTACTTATGAGATTGGAATATCTCTCAAAGCAACAAAATGCAACTTAAATACAAATTTAAAGTGAGTATCAAGAGTTCTTCAACAAGGGTTTTCTAAATTTTGATTCACAACCACATGTACATAAGAAATGAATATACATTTTTATTGGAGTTTTTTTTCTTCGTAAATTTTGAGCAAATATTCACTTGTAGCATACCATATTTCAAAGGATTGGCATAATTTCTCTACCACTTATACATCAAAAACCTAGGTTCAACGGGGTGAATGTATTAAAAACGGACAAATTTTAGCAGATGGTGCTGCTACGGTTGGTGGATTGGAGAGTTAATAACACAAGTAAAAGGGAATATTGTCTTCCCATTCTTAAGAAAGATTATCCTACTGGCATGGAGAATCAGAAGTTAACACCCACCATCCCTAAAATGGCAATGGATTTGGGCACATGGAACGCGGAAATGGATGTCACAGTGGAACGGAAAGTCTCCAAACGACGTCATTCCACCTAAAGTGGTTGATCCCTTGAAGTAAGCCATTACGCTACCAGATATTATGCATTAATGTTATAATTATTTTTTTATTATTTCGAATACGAATTTGTCCAATTCCGCAAGCCATAGAGAAATATTTAGGAAATAGATAAAAGAAGTTTATAGTGAAACTATCTTTATTTTCATACATTCGACATTATCTTAGTTGGTTTCTATTTTGCACATTCGGAATATACAAGTGAAAGTAAAGGAGCAAAAAATTTATAACAATATGACTTTTGTAATTTATTAATAATAAGATAGGTATAGGTACATGCTTTACATTTTTCAGGATCAAAAGGCAATGGATATAAGAAAATTAGAAATCCCAAACTCAGTTTTGAGTGACAGAAAAAGAATCTTAACTGATTGATTACAACTCACAGAATATCTTGGAGACGTGGAATCTTCGATCCATTAGTCGTCATATGAAGAATGAGGGGCAGAAGTGCATCCAGGATCAAAGGGATCTTCAGACCCACAGCAATGCCAGTACTGAAAAACTTTGCCAGAGTCGGGGGTGTCCATAGTTCCTCCGGTGAATACACTCTCAAACTTTCTCTTCGTTTCTCCTGGAAAAGTGAAACGGAGGAAACAAAAACATCAAAATATCAGGTACAATATCCTTGCATAGTCAAACAAGAATGAATCATATGGAACAACCTATGTTATAATAAGGTATGTGGTGGATTCTTTCATTTTAACAATAAATTAGTAGATAATCACATCTGACAGATACAAAATCTGTATCATACTACTAGGATCCATTCAACATAGGGTCAACAGAGAAGAGTAAACCTTTTTATAATTTATTGATAAGAAGTTAAGAAGAAAAGAGGAAGATTTTAAATACTCCCTCTCACTTTGCAAACAATCATGCAAATTATTGGCCATGGACCAAGAACATGCAAGTTACGCTAGGCCTAAACATTTTAACTGGAAACGAACCTCCCGAATTGAAACCGAACCGAAATCAGAGGTTACAATCCAGCTCCCAAAAAATTAAATTAGGAACTGATAACTGATTGGGTTCAATTCAGTTCTTAGTTCTTGAACCAAAATCGTTGGTACCTTAATGGAACCGATTTTTTATATAATTTCTTATTTACAATTTATAAGCTGGGTAAAAAAAATAAAAATCAAAACCTAAGTGCGGTAGTAATTAGTCTAAAACTCTAGCCTCTAACATTAAAAATTGGCTCTTACCATTTTGCCTTTTGCTTACATCATATTGTTGCATTTCAGAGGTTATCACATGTTAATCTTTTCAATTTGGCTTTTTATTAATCAAAAGTTCTATCTAGGTTGTGGTATAAGTTGATGAATAAAAATTTTCATTCTTTGCAATTCAAGCTTTTTGCTTTCTTGCATTTTGTACAAACTTGAGTAAATTTTTTAATGTTTTTATAATGCATGACAATTAAACTTGATGTATTCGTAGCTTGGGTTGTGGTGTACCTTTTTGGTTATATTAAGTTCGTGGTTCTCTTTTAAAATTTAATTTTTCCTTTTTAATCAAATAGAGTGAGTTCAATATGTGGATTGCAGTTTCTTGATACGCTATAGTTATGTATCTAATTAGTACTTTTTATGTCAATTCGTTTTAAGAATAGAAGAATTTAAGCATTGTTTATAATGAGATTATAGGCTATAGCATGCCTACTTAAGGATCAAATAAGATTTATTAATAAAAAATATTTTTTTCTTGAGTTGTTTTAATTTATGTTGTTTTTAATTTTATCCTCTTTTCATGATTTTTAGTCTTCACGATTTTGTTTCTTGAAAATTTCTTGGCTGAATCTTTACACAAATACTGCCGAGCGGTAGCGTGTTACATATACGTACTAAAGGGCTTACATGAAAATATAAAAAAGGTAATGGGTATAACCGAAACCGACGGTTCGATTATGCATTTGGTTCCAATAATTACAAGGACCCAAATGATTCCATTTACGAAATACTCAAAATATAATGCGTGGTTTTAGGTATTGGAATACCCAGGCCAACCCACCCGCCCGATACCAAGCCTAAGTTACTCCCTCATAGCTTTTAACTCCCAATAGATTCTCTAAAGCCCAAAAAACTAGCTCCAAGGGTGTTACTTCTAGTTTTTCTGTAGAACTACTATTGTTTTCTTAACATTTCATGATGCTATTTCTTAATGAGGATGAAACGGTTGTTTTACACAAAACCAACAAATTCAGACCATATTAAAAGAAGGTAATTACATGGTTTTTAATATGTTTTCATGCTATACGGGATAGATTGCAGATTCCCAAACCAGAAAAGGGCAAAATAGTCGGCGTCTAGTACATTCACTTAAGAAGGGGAAGGGGGCATGGTTTTCATATATCATAAGTGATTATTGGCAAAGTTATCGAATTTCTTCTTCCAACTATACACGATTACAACTCAGAGTCTGTTGGTAACTTCAGAATCCTCAACGGTTAGAAGGCACAACTAACAGTACAAAAGAAATTTTCCAACTTATGTTTCATTGCAGATCCATATGCAACTTAACAAAATAATCTTCTCGAGATCTGATGCTTCTTTCGCCTAACTATACGTTAGTTCGTATCTGCTGATCAATGTAATCTTGCAAGCTATCTAATCAAGATTGCAGCATTGGAAAATCAAAATCCGTAAGTTTTCCAGGTCTTCTTCTCTGAAGCTCTTATATGAAGTCCAGAAAGCAGTTGAACTAATAAAAAGGTAAACGTTATGATTTCCTCACATTTCCACACTTCAATGACGGAGCAAAGGTACTAAGTGGATTTCTCATGGCCCTCCCAACAAATCACTATTATGCTATACTAATATGAGCATAAACATTACCATTATTTATGGTGATCAGGGAAAAATTGGCTTGATTCATTTTCCATGTGGGGAAGCATAAAGGAAAAGAGGTCCCTTACCTTGTGACCTCTATTTCCTTCACATAATCGATCCTTCTACAGAAATTAGCTCACACTCAGCAATAAGACTGGAACATGTGTTTTCTTCCCATATACTGGACCATTTACAGGGATCAGGAACAAGGACCAAAACAAATATTCATTTCTTGTTGCAAACATTCACTTTAGCATACCATATATCAGTGGATTCGTATAATTTTTCTGCAGGATATACATATCCATAATGATGGTGTTTTTTCTAAAATCAAATTTGTTGTTGAGCATCTTGAACCAGCCACTACTTAGGAGATATTCTTAGAAAAGATAATTAATTCCTAATGAAATGGAAGTAACAATAGCTTGGTTGGAAGCCATAGTCTATACTTGATGTCTGATGTGTATGGTATTTCGAAGTGATCTATTAATCTACTAACAAGTCATTATGGTAGTTCCATCACTTTATTGTGAAATGCCAAATTGGCACGTTCTGTCATAAATACCTCCATATTCTACTGAGTTAGTGATAGGAAAACTTCCTTTTCTACGTCACCTGATCATACTATACAAATTACAGAGTATTATTTTGCTTCCACACTCAACTTTATGATTAATCCACCCGCTGTTTAATTCTTCAAAGCTAGATCACGAGATTGCTACCAATATCAGGGCATCAAAGGAACTCCATGCGATAGACATGAAACTAACAAATAAACAGAAAAGGGAAAACTACAAATAATGTTAACATCATACATAGGTCAGAATATATTCCGCTGTGTTTCATTTGAGAGTTATGCAGACAAAGACTGGAAATTTTTTGACCTTTCATTTTTTTGCCCCTTTAAAAAAGTTCCTTATTTCAAAACAAACTTATTTACTTATAATTAAACTTGGAAGCGAATTTTTTAGACTTAGACAAACATATATTTTGAACAAAACCAAAAATGACACTGAGTATAAGATGAATGAACACAAACTAAAAATGCATACCACCAAAATGAGCAGTGTGATAACGGCAAGCTCGGGGGTGATTGAGAACAGGATCGAACTGCGTCTTGCAATTCTTGCAAGTTCTGAGTATTGGGCCTTGGTTTTCTGAGCACTGAATTGATAAATTTGTTGCACGATTTTTCACCAGACTCGGGCTCGGTGGCAGACGGTACAAGGGATGATTTTGAAGACTTTTTCTTGGATTTTGATGACTGAGAGATAAATGTGCAATATATATTAATGAATTCAAATGTGTTCCAACTGACATTTTGCTGGCTAAAAAGAAAATAGGGATTTCTTCCAGAGAATTGGGGAAAATTTTTGGGATGGACCAACTTTAAACACCACGCAGTGAAAGGGAAAATATTCACTTTTACCTTTAACCCTTGGGGCAATTTCGTCCCATTTCTTTTTGTGATGCCATGCGTGGTGTCAATCCCTCAGGCTCAAGTGGGAGGATTCAGTTTCAATAAAATATAATTTATTTGAAATGAATCTTTTCCTATGTAGGAGTGATAGATAAAATATTGCATTATGTACAAATAATATACGATACCACTATTTCAATTCATACTTTTTATATTTACATTCACTTTTACAAATAAAATTTTATTATATTTTAAATTCTATGTAAATTTACTTAAATACACATAAATAAGATTCAATAAAAATACATAAGTCTATATTCATTCACTTATTTCTATTTTCATTAAAGGGTAATTATATTACTAATACAAATTTTACTAAGTACACCACAATTTTCTTATTTACTAAAATATCCAAAATTACATAATTAGAATTTTAATATACTTGTTAATTAAATAAATTATTATTACATTACAAATGTAAAACCTAATTTCCTTCTTCATTTTTTCTGAACATTTCATTGTTCATAGTTTTTTCTGCAATTTTTTCCTTCCTTCATGGTGGCAAGATAATTTTTTTCTCATTGTAAATGAATTCATTTTTTCAATTTATTTGTCAAATTTGAAAATTAGGGATCTTATTTTTTGTTGAGTCAAACAAATTTATTATAATTTTAAAACAAGCATGTAAAATGATGAATGTACATTTCAACTTTCGTGGATTTTTGTGTATAAGATCTGTCAGTTTCCTCGTATTTTTTGTATATGCTGGTATATGAATTTCTCTCCATCTATAACACACCAAAACCATAAAAAAATGGAGAAAAAGAGAGAGGATGATGGGAAGTCAAACATGGAATCTTCCTGAAAATGGTCTGAATTTAATTTAAAGAATCCAACATAATGTTACAATTAAAATCCCGTTAAAAGCAATTAATAAGGCTATTGTGGTGAAAAAATTTTGTGACAAAAGATAATATTTTCCACCTATAATGCACCTGGTACAAAATCTCTATGACGAAAAGATACTGCAAATTATTATTTTAGAATTAGTGAAAATGTTTAAAGGATGAAAAGTAATATTGGGATGATAAGTACACCACATTTTTTTTTTCATTTTTAATTTTTATTGGATTAGGAGTATAATTGTAAATTTGTTGTGGTGTATTTATTGAAAATATATTTTAATTATGGTGTGATTATAATGTGGCGTAAGAAATAAATTTTCTGGTCGTAATATAATTACCCTTCATTAAATTATCCTAAATCTTTTAACGTATTTTTACAATTTGTGTTTAACTAAAACCCTAATGAATCAGAGAAAATTACATGAATATGTTTGAAACATTCTAATACTTAGAACTTCAATAGACAAAGACTTTAGTAAACAATGGAAGAGACGCCGTTTGAGCAGATAAATACGGACAGAGCAATATATGAAGAGGAATTTAAAAAAGTAAGGATTACCTTTTTATCATATTTTGTTATTTGATTTTTGTTTGAATTTGGACGTTTTAATTTTCTTCTCTTGATTTTACCTGTTATTCCTAAGTCTAACTGGTAAGGGCCTTTGGTCATTAAGCAATCCATGGCGTGAAAACTCTTACTTGATTGTCGTCTAGCTTGTCTTATTCTTTCCCCCTTTTCAACTATGCTGGAGAGCTAATAGTGCCTATATCGAAAGTAATGTTCTATTTTCTAAATTATTAATCACCCCATTTCTTCAAAATAAGAAAAGAACAGAAAATAGTTTTCTCTTTATCTAGTTTTAATTCTTTGCTGTACAGAATCCTAAGTTTTGGCACACGCATTGCTCTTTTTTAGAAGCATAATGTCCTTAAATGACTTTATATTGATTACCCCTATCGAGGGGCTGCAGTGGAATTTCTTATAGATATGGTACAAAAATAAATGTTTGCTAAGTTGTTGAACAAGAAAGACAGTAAGATAAACGTTGAAAGTACATAATTATATGGGTTTGTTGCCTACTAAGGGATTGTTTTTCAACAACTTCTAACCTTCAAGCCCTAAAACCGAGCTTGTTTTTCTTTTAATGCCACGTTTGGTAAAGAGAATTGGATAACAATGGACAAGACCTGTCTTGGGTGTGCTTGGCATACTCAATGTCTCAGCTCTCTTTTTATGTTCAGAAGACCCTTCTTTATATATATATATATATATATGTTTCTCTACAAGTACTTAGAAAAGTTCCAATTCATCTACTTTTTTGCAATTATTTTTTTTTTATTTTGCTCTCAATTGTAGTGGTTTCTTCACAAGTATTTAGAAAAGTTCCAATTCATCTGCTATTTCACATACTTACCTGATGTTTTAATTGTTATCTTATTTACTTTTGAATTTATGCCAATGATATTATTTGACTCAATACTTTTAATGTAGGATGCACCAACACATAACTATGATGTCCATAATGAATTATTTGTTGATTATACGAATATATTTACGACAAACGTGGTACGTAATGATTTTATTTTTAGTATGATCATATATCTTTACTCTCTTAAAAGAGAGGCTTTCTTTACTATTCATTCATGTCACACTGATTTTCACACTTGCTCGATTTACATATCTGGTTTTGCTACAGTTGGTTGGTCCCCAAAATGAGCCACGTTTTCTTTTTGAGACCGCATAGTCTGCGTCTTCTTGCTTTTGTATTGTCTCACATCCACCTCCTCTCATGAGGAATAATTAATATAGTTGATTTTTTTGACTTATTGAAGTGTAGTTGATTTTGTTGACTTCTTGAAATCTGAAAATGTGCATTCCCGAGGTATATAGCAAAGTTATTAGATGATTGTCCTTTTTCCCACATAATTGAGATATCAAAAGTAACATTATACCCTCTATTTAATAAACAATTTGGCACAATTACCCTTCACTTTCTAACTACACACTAATTTCCATACCTATATTAATGTTAAGGGTGATATGGGAATTAAAAAATATAGTTGTCCAAACATTAATGAATGGCACCCACATTTGAAGTAAAATGTCGTGTGCTGTTTATTTTTTCTTCTTACCACATAAATTTCACACAATACTCTTCTATCAATTCAATCCTTCTCTTTCTAAATTCTAGCCATTGTTTTGCAGAACGAATTCTCCTCAAAATCTTGTTTTCTCTGAAAAAAAAAGGTCGTCCTTCTACCATTATTCGCTTTTGCCTTTAGCCTAATTCGTATTTTCTCGTCATCAATAGTGGAGAAGAAAATTCTAGAAGTTGCAACAATTATTTTGGGTATGTTCTTCTTATAATTTTTCTTTTTTGTGTATTTCTTTTTTTATTTTCTTACTATTTATTTAAGATACTTAGTTTTCCTTTGTTTGTAGATGAAAATCTAGCTGGGTTCGTCTTTCTTTAGCTCCATATAAGGTATGTTCTCGTTTCTGTAGATGCATGAAAATATATCTACGTTTACATATTCGTAGTTCATGAGGTTGAAGGTCATGAATTTTCGCCGTTTCGAAGCTGGTGAGGAATCAACTATCATCATTCATAGTCAACTTCGACAATTTCAAATCACTATTTCACTCCATTTTTCATTCACTGTAGAAGAAAATGAAATTGCACTGGACCAAAAAAAAATGTTAATAGATGGTGAAAATTATATAGATGTGTACATACACATTTACATACATACATGTTTTCGTGTGTGAGGAGAGGGGATTACTTTTCTTCGTATAGAATATATTTTATTTAATTAGTATATAATAATAAAATAGTATCTGCCTTTACTATAAGAGAGGAGATTGTCCAAGTTATTGTTTATGTTTGGCAAAATTTCACACGTCACCAGTTTCTTCCTTTAGTATGTAGACTCGAGATATTTTTTTCTTATTCTTATCTAATATGAAAATTATTTAAGTTGAAAACGCCTAACTTTGTATGAACTTTAAAAATTCTTTAAAATATATGTGTTGGGGACATGTAGATTTATATTAAGTAGGTTGATTGGGTGGAAGCAAAACCACTAAATTTATAGATGAAAAATATTTTCTTTTTAGAAGTCTTTATTTTCTTACTCTTTGGTAGTAGTATAGCAAAAACTTTTACAACATTACAATAATATTTATGTTTTTTTTTTAAAAACTATTAATTTTACAAGAATCATATAAAAATGTTAATCTTTTATTCCTGCTTTTACATCATATAAGTCTTATTAAAATTTTATTTCATCAATAGTTCAGTCAACACTGTTTATATTTATTGCTATTGCTTTGAAGTAAACAATTTTTTTATTAAACTTCAGCTTTATGCATGTTTTTAATGTTGTGAGAGTATGGTTCACTTGTGTCTATCGAATATTTTTCCTATTGTGGAAACTTAGTAGTATTATTAATTTTTTAATTATTTCATTCACTAAAACGAAAATTCTTTGCTTTCGTTAAACTAGAGGTGAAGATCTTTTCCCCTTGGATTCTTCGAATATTGATAGTACTTCTCAAAATGCAACTGAATCGTATACTGCTTTTATTCGCCAACAACAAAACCAAAGACAGGCGAATAGGAGGAATCAAATTCAAAGTCCAGGCGTTGATCGTCGTAAAAGAATAAATAATTCCACTTGCATCCTAATTTTCAGGCTTCTACTTCAAATCAAGCACGTACTAATATTGTTCATTCTCTACGAGGGATTTCTAACCTATTAAACATACCTACTAATACATATGTATTACCGACATGGAACTATTGTGAACATTGTGGTGCGCGAAAATTTTACAGAGAAACTAAAGGGTTCTGTTGCTCTGATGGAAAAGTTAAACTTTATATGCCTGATTCACCAATTGAATTGTATAATTTATTTACTTCTAAAGAACCTGAATGCATGGAGTTTAAGAAAATTTCACGTGGATATAATAATCATTTTACATTCACTTCATTTGGTGTAAAGTGCGATACAGACCTTTTTAGAGCATATAAAGGTATTTACACATTCAGAATTCAGGGACAAGTATATCATTATGTAAATCAACTTCTGCCGGAAAATAATCAGCCTTCTTATATGCAATTATATTTTTATGATACGAATAACGAAGTTGAAAATCGTATGAAAATTTTAGAAAATTTTGTTGAATCTACTTTGATCATTTTGATTGAAATCTTGAAAGTAAATCCTTATAGTAGATTCTTTAGGTCTTTAAGTAATATGACCAATTTGCACGACCATCGAATACAAATAAGATGTGATCCTGGACTTGATCAAAGAGTCTTCAATACTCCTTCAGCATCTCAAGTAGCCGCTGTATGGGTTGAGGATGATGACAATGCAAATATTCGTGTTCGTGATATTATTATATATGGTCATTTTGGTGATTCACATAAGGTTCACTATTATTATGGTTGTCATGATCCTTTGCAATACCCTTTACTTTTCCCATTTAGAGAACCTGGTTGACATGAAGGTATTCAGAGATACAAAAAAACATATTTTGAAACTCAGAATTTACCCGATTGCGTAGCTTTTCCTAGCACAGTAAATTTTGCAACTGAAATTATTGCAAAAGAGGCTCAAGGTTTGCTATTAAACTTTTTTATATGTTTACTAATTCATATAAATTAAATGTTCCAAATGGGTGTAAGATGCATTTTTTTTTTATCCTTATGCAGTATTCAATGGAATGAGGAAACGATCACAGGTTTCTTGCCGCGAGTACTATTCTTACAAGTTACAAATTAGGTCTTCTAGTAAGTCTGTGTTGCTTCATACTGGTAGACTTTTTCAACAATATGTTGTAGATATGTATGTTAAAATTGAAACTGCCAGATTAGACTATTTTCGTAGCAATCAGAAACAAATTCGTGTTGAACTTTATCAAGGTATTGTGGATAGTGTTCAAAATGGGGAAACAAGATGGTTAAAAATTGGAAAGAAGATTGTTCTACCACAAACTTTCACATGTGGGCCTAGAGATATGCTTAAAAGATATTTAGATGCAATGGCTGTCGTCCAACGTCATGGAAAACCAGATATATTTCTAATTATAACATGGAATCCAAATTAGCCAGAAATTATGCAAGAACTCAAACACAATGACGAAGTTCAAAATCGACCAGATTTAATTGCACGTATATTTAGAGCAAAATTGAAAGAGTTAAAGAACGATTTATACAAAGAAAATATTTTTGGTTCAGTTGTTGCTCATATATACATGATTGAATTTCAAAAAAAAGGGCTCTCTCATGCCCATTTATTGTTGATTTTCAATTCTGCACATAAAATTTGTTGTGCTGAACAAGTTAATATGATAGTGTCATGTGAAATTCCCGATAAGAATAAATACTTGCATTTTCATTCTGTAATTGCAAAACATAATATGCATGGCCCTTGTGGAAACCTTAATCCAAAAAACGTATGTATGTTGGCAAGTAGTGGTTGTAAAAATAAATATCCTAAGGATTATTGTAACAGTACTATATTTGATGATAATTCATATCCCTTGTATAGACGTCGTGATAATGGTATTTCTATTAAAGTAAGAGGCCAAATGTTAGATAATCGGTGGGTTGTACCATATAATCCTTATTTAAGTGCAAAATTTGACTGTCATATTAACATTGAAGTATGTTCTTCTATTAAAGCAGTAAAATATTTGTACAAATATGTGTATAAAGGACATGATCGTATTAATTGTTTCGTAGGCAGAAATGAAACAGATAAGGAAATTGATGAAATTTTTGCTTATCAATCAGCTAGATGGATATCTCCACCTGAAACTATGTGGAGAATTTTTTCTTTTAATTTGTCAGAAATTTATCCTACTGTTTACGCTTTACAACTTCATATTAAAGATCATCAGCACGTAACTTATAATAGTAAAGATGATTTATCTGTTATTATTGGAAATGAGTATACGAGAAGAACAATGCTAACTGAATTTTTTCGGATGAATGAAGTAAATGAATTTGCTCGAACGCTATTGTATCGAGATTTTCCAACACATTTTGTGTGGAATGCAACTGGAAAAACTTGGACTCCCAGAAAACAACACATTGTTATAGGGCGAATCGTGACAGTTAATCCATCCGAAGGAGAATGATATTTCCTTCGTGTTCTTCTGAATCATATTAAAGATCCAACATCATATGACAGTTTTAAAACTTTAAATGGAGTAACAGTCAATACATATCGAGAAGCAGCACTTTTACATAGTTTGTTAAAAGGAGACAACCATTGTGAAGAATGTCTATCTGAAGTCATTATTTACAAAATGCCCAGTTCTTTAAGACGTCTTTTTGCTACACTTCTTACACTTTACAACCCTAATCATCCAAAGTTATTGTGGGATAGATATAAAGCCTATATGATTGATGATTATGTACATCGAAACATATGTGTTAAAGATGCTGAAATACAAGCTTTGGAAGACATCAATTCTATATTAGAATCGTCAGGAAAAAATGTAAATGATTATGGAATAGTTTCATTCTTTGTAAATATAGATGAGACTCAAAGATTGGCAAGAATGATTACAAAGGAAACATTGAATTTTAATATTCAAAGAGACTTTAATTGTGTAGAGAAATTCAATAAAGAACAACGATTTGCATATGATAAAGTTATGGAAAAAGTAAAAAATGATTCAAGTGGTACTTTCTTCATTGATGGTCCAGGGGGAACGGGGAAGACTTTTTTTATAAAAAGCACTTCTAACTGCTGTAAGAGGTCAACATTTCATTGCTTTGGCAACAACGTCCTCTGAAGTCGCTGCGTCTCTATTACCTGGAGGTCGCACAGCTCATTCAAGATTTAAAATTCCTTTAGAAACAATTGGTGAAGTGAATTGTTCTGTTAGCAAGCAATCAGCTTTAGGAATAATGTTGAAAATATCTAGGTTAATAATTTGGGATGAAGCGCCTATGGTAAATCGTTGCGCTATTGAAGCTGTAAACAGAATGCTTAGAGATATTACTGATTGTAACTTGCCTTTCGGTGGGAAAGTGATAGTTTTTGGAGGAGATTTTCGACAAGTTCTTCCAATGGTGCCGAGAGGGAAAAAAGATGATGTAATGAAAGCTAGCTTGGTCTTTTTAGACCTATGGCCTTCCTATTTACGTTTACCATTGGTTGAGAATATGAGGGCAAAATCAGATCCTATGTTCTGCACTTACTTACTCAGAATTGGAAATGGAACAGAAGAAGAACATACTTGTAAGTGCATTATGCTTCCGAATAGTATAATTCTACCATTTGAAGATGAAATCACATCTTTAAAAATTTTGATACATCATGTTTTTCCAAATATACAGGCATATGTTGACAATTTACATAATATGATAAATAGAGTTATTCTTCTACCTACGAATGAATGTGTTGATTATATTAACAAGATTTTACTCGAACAAATTCCCGGTGATTTTTTCACATACTATAGTTTTGATAAAGCAATTGACAAATCGGAACAAAGCTTGAACGAAGATTTCTTGAATACTTTGACACCAAATGGTATTCCACCGCATGAATTGAAACTTAAGGTAAATTCTCTTGTAATGTTATTACGGAATATTAATCCTTCCGAAGGATTATGCAATGGAACACGCCTTACTTGTCGAAAATTTGAGGAAAACGTAATTCTTGCTGAAATTACAACTGGTGAGTATTGTGGGAAATATGTTTTCTTACCAAGGATCCCTTTTATATCTCTTCAAAGTGATCGAAACTCAATTCAATTTAAGAGAACTCAATTTCCAATTAGACCGTATTTTGCAATGACAATAAATAAAGCACAAGGTCAAACACTTGATTTTGTCGGTCTATATTTTCCAGAACTAGTTTTCTGCTATGGTCAGCTATATGTAGCATTATCAAGAGCAACAACGAGGACATCTCTAGAAGTTTTATTGAAACCATCAAGCATGGACAACTCATATAATACATGTATTAAAAATGTTGTGTACAAGGAAATTCTTTCGTTTATACATTCATATACCTAAAATGTTTGAACAGGTATATTTTTTATCTTCGAGAAATTTTTATAATATGTTCTCGTACAATAGTTTCCTCAATTTTAAATACATGAAGAATTATATCGTTACTATTTTTTTCATTCTTTGCATTTGCTATAAAAAAAATTCACAGGTTTCATTATCGGGAATGAAAAGTTCTTTTTAATTCTTTGCTACATGTGTACAATGGAATCACTAATGACAGCTTCAATTACAACCTGCGTTTGCAAAAGGTATGATTCAAATTTTTTTAGTGTTAGTTTAATAGTTTGCCAGATCGATAACTAATTTACTTTAGTAAAATTTCAAAATAAAAAGTAATTTCTCTATTTTTAGAATATATTTACCCTTAAGAGTTTCACATTGTCACATAAATATTCTTCCATCAGTTAAAATGTGCTCTTATGCCAATTATTACAATGTTCAACTTTGTCAAAAAAAAATAAAATTAGTATAATAATGGATTTTATGGAAACTCAATTTCAGATTCCCTTATTATCAACTTCAAGTTGTTTCCCCTCATATATTTTACAGTCTTTCACATTTAAGATATATGTAATTAATACTATTTCTACTACCTCTTAAAAGAGGGGGTTTATATTAATGTTCATTTATATCACAGCCGTTTACACCCACTGTTCCACAACCATTTTTTCTACAGTTCACATTTTTTTTGAATAAATGAAATAGAATCTCCTTTCTTAACCCTAAATAAAACTCTAGCTTGCTTTCTCAAAACTCTTGCCCTTGTTCTCAAACTTTCAGATTTTGCAACCCGACGGCTAAAGGAGAGATCCATTTGAAGTACACTTGAAATACACTGTCTATGTTCTTGGCAATGGAAGAATGAGACTTTTTCTATTATTCAACTTTTGTTTACGGTAAGGACCTAGCTCTTCTTCTTCTTCTTTTTTTTTTTTTATTTTCGAGTTAGCGGAGGAAGGTGATAATGAAGAGTATAGGACGACGATGGTCACTGTAGTAAATGGTAGAAGAATCGAAGGTTGTCAAACTTATTTGATAAAGAAGCACATATTAATAACGAAAAAGAAGAAGAAGAACGTTGTAGCCAATAATTTTCTTTTTTAGTTTAGTTTTCGGAAACCTTTTGAGTTGTTGATGAGGATTTAATTCAATTATGTTGATTTGTTATGGTGTTCTAAATCTTGATTGATTCAACTGGATTTCTAATCCTTTTGATTTTCTTTTAATAATCTAATTGATGTCAATTAGTTTGTGAGATAGATTTGTTAAAAATTAGTTTCTCTATAAATATTATAAGTTCCCTAAATTTAAGTAATTTGTCTGCCCTTTGTGCATCATACGTTCTGATTCTTGGACAGTTTTATGCTACTGTAATTCTATCAATAGGGAGACTAATGCTTGATTTTCCTTTTGAAGCTCATGGTTTATTGAAATCATTTTGCTGCTTCTGCTTCTTGCTGGTTCCACTTGTAGACTAACGGAATTGCACTTTAATTGCTTACAAATGATGTGTAAAATACGATTTATGGCTTTGTCATCAGCTATTTATAATCTGATTTTTTGCTTTTATAATGAATTAGTCTAATACACTACTTTATGCAAGCTACTTAAAGCATTATCTTAATTTCTCTAGGTGTGGTTGCAGGATTAAATGCTCAACATGGTGTTAATTTAAGCACACCTACGTCTTTTAGCAATCCTGTTGCTGGAGGTAATAATAGTATGGACATGGGGGTAGTTGTTCACTCTAGCAGACCTTTCGCAATGGTTGATGAAATTACAAAAGGATCTTTAGCAGCAGCAGATGGCTTACAGCTTGGAAATCAAATTGTAAAATTTGGGAATATGAAAATAGGTGAGAACTTGGTACAGAAGCTTACGACTGAAGCTCAGATAAATCAGAGCCATGCAATGCTTGTGGTAGTTATGGGGTAAGGAATTTTCATAAATTTGACCATAAAACCCAACTCTTGGCAATGTCATGACCTACTTGTTACGTTACATTCTAATCATATTTTATATTTTTCCCTTTTGTTTAAACTATGTTTCAATTGGTCTATAAATCTCATTTATGCAAGTGAATCATGAAATGTTCAATTTCAACAAATCATCTTGAACTAAAAATATGCTAATGTTATATATTTGAATTCTGTTGATTTTATACAATAAGATCAATAATACATAAGTTTCTTTTAATTCCGATAGTCCAATAATATTCCTTGTTCTAATTAAGTTTTACATAGAGATGGTTTGATACTCTTTTAGAATTTAATGAACATTTTATGCTTTCCCTTTACTTCGTGCAACGTTAGGAAATGTTTGAGTGAATTTAACATTATTCTTCTTGATAGAATATACAAAATTGGTGTGTGTACATTAACGCTTTCCTATTTAATCATCTAACTTTGTTCGGTGAACAAAAAATTTTGTGAGCAACTATTTTTATTATATATACATTACATATTTCTTTATCAATGCATGAATTGATTTTATGGGAAACTTAATAAAATTTTTTTTACTAATTTTATTATTAATCTAAATTCTAACCAACAATGTTATTTTTTCAGAGTAGGATTACAGTCATCCTATATCTAAAGACGATTAATCTTACATGGTCGAAAATATATTCACTTTCAATGCTGATAAATATGCAAAGATGGAATTTGGATTGAATTATATGATGATATGTTTCCTTGCATTATGCTATATTGTTATGTTTCTTAGTATATGATATTTTCAATTTTTATTAATCGAATGATGAACATATGAAAAGATAAATTTTCAAGATGCTTATTCTTTACATTCCTACTCTTTTAAAAAATGGAATCTTACGTCTACTATTCATCTAGGAAGCATTTTAAGTGTTTTCCATCGTATCTCCAAATCCATCTGGCAAAGTAATTCTTATACTAAAGGTCTAATAATATTTTTTTTTAGACGATATATATTCTTCTCTAGCCAAAGACAATCTGCTATCGAAAACTTTAATTCATAATTCCATCTTCAAAAAAAAAAAAAAAACATTAGCTAGCCCTAATTTCTCTTCTTCTTCTAAATTGTTGAAATTAATTCGAAATAATCTATAGGAATTGAAACATTTGTAAGTATAATTCGCGTACGGCATTTCTCTTTGAAATGTTATGTAATTTCAATTTATTATTTGTAGAATATTAGACGTTGGACGTCCTATATCTAATCTATTTATCGTCTTTTTTGTGGTAAGGTAAACCGACAATGAGAAGTTAGCTGATGATGAAGAGGAAACTAAGGGGAAGTACATCCATGGTGATGTATTCAAGTACCTGAAATACAAATTTTTGTTTATAATAAATGATGGTTCAACCTTAGTATCCTTTATTATATTTTCCAACGTCCTGGATTCGAAGTTTTCTATTTACTCTTTCACTTAATTAAAAACTAATGTTTTTCATACAATTCATACATTTTTCGACCATAAATTGAATTTTCTTCTTACTAATGTAATAAGTGAACACAATAGTTTTTCAAAATACATAAATCCAACAGAAAATAAAGAAAAAAAAGACAAACAACAATGATAGTAACATTTAACCTGATAACACTTATGATAATATAAGTTAAGCTCCCCACAACTTCGTGAATAGATAAAATTACTTAATAAATAAAGTGAATAAATAAAGTTACTTACTAAATGTATTATGCATGAAGCACTCGTATTTGAAACATATGGATTAACAATCCTTCTTCCAATTTGTAAATCTAACATAATGTATTAAATTTTAGCAAATTATAAAGTAATATTTTTCAAAATCAACACGTGAACCAGTAAAAAACTAACACAGAAAACTACCAACTTTTTATAAAAGCCTTTTCAATTCTAAGTATATATCTACATGAAATAGATATATATATATATATACACGTGAAATAGATATTATACAAATGAAAAAAAATAGTGCCAACTTTCCACGCAAAACTTTTTCATATAAACCATCATTAACTTTTTCTTTCACTTTAATTCTCATCCATACAAAAAGATATTTTACAGACCAAGTGTATGGTTGGATATTAAAACAAAGATTCTTCTACTCATGTTCTATCTATTAATATCTGCTTTCGACTAAATAATTTTATGTTACTTTTACTTTCCCCTTCAGCATCAAAATTCTACAACAGTATCATAAACATCATACTCTTCAACTACAATTGCAAAAGTTTAAAAACTCCGTTTTCGTTTTCGTTTTCTTATTGGTAAGTTTTACATGTTACTATCGTTTTACTATAATTATCTTTTATTAATCCAAAAGAAGAACGTTAGATTATTTCATAAAAAACTTTTAGAATTAAAAAAATTGATATCATTTTTTTACAATAAATTTAACGTAATATTAACAACTGTAACTATTTGTGTAATAATTTCTTCTTCACATAATCATAGGATATCAAGAATGGCCGCATTTTATAAACTTATCCCACAGATTTCCACTTTTGAGAAGAATTGGACTGCAAAAATCATAGTTGCAGAAAAACAAGCACCTAAAACTGTTCGAAATAACATTAGCCGCTACCAAAACCTTCTCTTAATGGATTTAGCGGTAAATATATATTTAAGAATCTTCTTATTTCTATTCTAAATATTTGTTTTTGTAATATATTTATATAGAACTCATTTTTACATTTGAACAGGGTAACAAAGTTATTGCCATAATCTATGATACAAATATTACGGCCCTTGCAGATGAGCTAACACTAGGGAAAACATACATGTTATCAAATGCAACTGTAAAAGACAACAGAAATGAGTTCAGAGGCTCGCTTGAAGACAAAGTTTGGACCATAACAGCAAAGACAAAGATAGAAGAACTTAAGGAGGATAATTTAAACATTCTCTTCTCGAGATATGAACTCACAGCATTCAACAAACTTGAACGATATATGGATAGTAATGAAGAGATAAGTATGATCACAAACACATTAACTTATAGCCAATATAAATTTAGTTAACATTTTTTAATCGTTCTATTTATATTCATTTTATCATATACAAAATATGATATCAACACAACTTCTTTTTTGCAGGTGTTATAGGCGTCATTATAGAAGTTCGTCAAAAAAGAATTATCCAAACCTAGTTTGGCACACAAGCATGTCTTCAAGATGTTGTGCTGATAGATAAGTCTTTCCAGACGATCATATTAATGATGTGGGACACTTTTGTTGAAAATGAGTGCGTTATTATAATAGATAACATTGGAAGCAAACCAATCATCCGGGTGACTACTTTAAAATTTTCTTCTACAACGGTAAACAAAATAAAAAAAATATTTTCTTTACATTTATATTTTAAGTAAAATGAACACTAACTTTATGATTGAAATTTTTTATTTTTTTAGGACTTACGCTCTCTACAAAAGTGAACAGCACTTTTTTCATTAATCCTGCAATTGTAGCTGTCACAGACTACAAAGAATGGTTATCGAATAGAACTAACAAATTTCTTCTATTTTTCTAACTTTATAAATATTGGTAGTAAATCTCACACTTCATTGTTTACTTTATTTATGCAGGATTGAAACAAACAAAGAATATACTGCATATATATATTATTAATGTTTTTTGACCAATACTAAAAAAATTTACGCTCTTTCTTATTACTATATATTTCTCATTTCGTATGCAGAAAAAATTTTATTGGGTCAAAGCGCAATGGAAAATTACTTCAATGAACCAAAAGTTTTGATTTATTGCATGTAACAATTGTAAGAAAACGTCAAGTGTAGACTTGGGACAAATTCATAAGTGTCGTTTCTGCAAATTTGAACATGCAAAAGCAATACCAAGGTAACATGTACTCTAAACCTATATTTAACTATTTATTAAAAATAACACTTCATTTAACAAAACTTACTATGTAATTTAATTAACTTCTCTATATAGGGTAACTGCTTTCGTACATATTGAAGACAACTCTGGAGGCTTGGATGCAACCATAATAGGAGAAACCGCAGAAACTTTATTGGAAGCAAATGCCGTCCAAATTATGAACCATTTTGAAAAGGTTAACTCCAAATACTACTAAATTTTTAATAATTATTTGCATTTACTTCATCATATTAAATGAGTATAATTTTAATATTTCAGGACGTGGATACACAACTAAAAGATCTCATAAGAACTAACAACGAAGAAGAACAGCTTTTTTACCTAAAAGTAACACCAAGAAGCCAAAATCCACCTGAATACCGATATAAAATTATCTTCATATTCAACTCTTCAACAACAACTGACATTGATTCTTCAAGTACAATCATAGAATTGGATTCTTCTCTTGTAACAACTGATGATAGTTCAAACAAAACATCTACGAAAAGTAAAGAGAAGATGTGCATGATAGATAATCAAGATTCTACAAACGCCGACGAAGTGCTTGCACCAAATGCAAAGAGGGCTCTCTTTCAAACTCGAGACCAAAAACCGAAACTCGTTCCAAGAAGAAAATGAAGACTGATAAACATGTTGAAGATGCTGATGTCCTTAGCTCTAGATAAAACCTCAACTCACGTTCGTTTTGTTTTGGGATAATAGACAATCTAACAGTAGACACTTCTCTGATTCTACAAGCAACCTATAATCTATAAATCTCCAGTAGAATAATGAGTCTTAGATACAGTTATATAATTTTGGTTTCTAAATAGAACAGGTTGCTTTAGATATTTTGGTATGTTTTTGTTGTTAAAAATGTAAATACTATGAAATCAC